TCCCTCACCTCTGAAGAAGGGTGTTTGTAGTAATTGCATTACCTAGCACATTTTTTTAGCTTGTTCCTTTAATTTTGATTTATTCATTTCTTCGAAGTAGAGAGAAACTGTGGGAGTGATAGGTTTTAGGTACAATGTGGTTAACTTTCTCCTATCCAACTGAAGCCGATATAACTAACGTCACTAGCCACGCTACAGCTACTCGACTCCGGGCCCATCAGTTCCCTGCACCTCCCTTGGGTAAACTGATCAACGTTTCAGCAAAAGAAAAACACGTACAACGAAACAAAATAAAACACTCTAATACTATGTTTCACCAATTGAAAGAGCTTGAAAGTAATGTTGCTTCCTTAATGCAACCCACATGTGGCCATGAATGCTGCAAGCAAGGCGTGGTCTCCAAAGCCAAGAAAAAGAGGCCAGAAGTAAGTTACTTTTTGTCTTCCTAAACTCTTTACCTAACCATGAAAACACGACCAGTCCACAACCACCAGGCTTCACTTCGAAGAATCATAACAGCACCACATGAAATTACTGCTAGATATACTACAGAAATGAAAGTTAGATCCACCTTAAACAGCGCAATAAACAGTGCTACTTTAAAGCTTAGCTTACTTTAGTACAGAAAGGTTAATAGAACATTCCTAACTTCACCGTTTAGATAGACCAGAATGAGGAACCAAACCGTTTACCATCCAAGAGTACACCAACCAAAGGTAACTCGCTTTCAACCCGCAACTAAGTCGAATACAAGATAATCAATCACCTAATGATGGTCAGGACCGTTGGCGCGCGTCTCCACTGCTTGCATTATGCGAGTGTACTTAATACGACAAATCCTACGCCTAATGCAAGGGCAAAAATGCCTTAAAATGGATTGAAACAAATGGTGTCTCAATATAAGCCTCTGATTATTTATCAAATGACATCAGACCATATGTAAACAGTCCAAATTTACAAGACTCTCTACATCAGAGTGAACGTTAAATTTGGGACCCCGTTATATATTTATTTGTTATTACGAAGCTGGTGGTTTTCTAAGATTAGATGGGACGAATGAAATTTCAGGTTATGTGCAGGGGGCCGTGCAGGGGTTGAATAAGTTGAATAACCATTACCAAAACAAAGTAAAGTCTCAGCATGTTAGCAGCCATAGCTAGCCATGCACGGAGAGCTCTATCGCTAACTTAGGCTGTTTTACAGATGTAGTCAGAAAGAATGCAGAAGAGAGAAGTAACATAGACATGTTCTTGAAAAATCTTCACCAAAGAACTCAAGCGATCCCTGGAACACCAGCTAAACGTCTGAAGGTAACTATCGAGTAGCTAACTACTCTCATGTTATCTAAGCAATAGAGCACTTTTTTCGTGTTTGCATAGTCTTATCTAAACACGGGGGGATCGGAGAATTCGAGACAGTATGCAAACCAAGAAGAGAAGTCACGCAACCCCCGGCCCTGATGTTTATATTGTAACATATTTTTCAAGAATGCGCGCGAATCTAAAACGTCACAACCGTGTTTACATCCTTTCATCTAACACACCTATCGACCAATGAGAGCGCGCGTAGCATCTCAGTTATTTTATACAGCGAGTTCGGTTGTCCGATCATTTCTATCTAATTAGTCCTCTTTTACCTTCCTGTACCCCCTTGCTTTCTTACCTCCATTCGAATAAAAGTAAAATAATTTTTGCAATATTGACTTTTAAAAATGGAAAAACAGATTAAATTTATTTGAAATACCAATCTGAATGCCAATTTCCAATAGACCATCAGTAGTTATTTTTTCACTGTTAAAACTCTATGAGGGAGAGTCCTGATTAGTGACTTAAAGTAAAATGAATTTCTTTTAGTATGTATTTTATTTTGGATAACCACATAGGGTATTACGATCGATACAATGCAATGGTGCTACCTAATGAAATTTCTGTTGTTAAGATGTCAGGGCAAGAGACTGGAGAAACCAGTTTCGTGGATTTAACTCTTGATGAAAGATTTGGGTACTCTCGCAAGACGCCATTTCACCATCAGGTGGATACCGCTGTAGTGAAGGTCGAGGACGTTGACTCTGTTACGAAAATAGCTCCTGGTGAAAGTTGTTGGGACGAAATTGACTGGCACCAACAGCAAATGGAAAAATACCAAGATATGGGGGAAGATTTTGAAGACGATGGTAAACCTGTCTGTTATTGCTCATTAAAATAAGTATTGACGTCTATGGGACCTTTATTAGTGTAAAGTACCTGTATCAGTGTCGTAAATAGTATTGTAAGTAGTGTGAAGTACTAGTATTGTAAACAATGTAAAATAGCTTCTAGTAGCTTTACAAGTATTGCATGTGGTGTAAAGTAGCTGTGTTGTATTCTAAGTTGTGTAAGTGGATGTATTGTAATGGTAGTT